ACATTCTACCTCTGTACTTTAGTTATTATATACCATATGGAGGAATCACTGTTGGTCTTTCTCATATGTCTTCAGCAATTTCCTACATCTTTAAAAGTATTTAAAAATTTTAGTATCTAGGTGTTCGTCTCAAATACAATGTTCCAAGCTCTCATAAGTAAAGTTCCACCCTTCCTCGCCCCGATAGTGAGGAGGAGCTTTAGAAAACAGTGCCAATTCTTACCTTTCAAAACGACATTTAGTTAGGGAATTATACAAACAAAGCACCAATCCGAAAGTGAATATATGAGTGCTCTTAACTTGCAGCTGCCATCGCAGTCCCAAGTACAGCTTATGTTGGGACTGGCAAATGGCCTCCATGAGGTGTACCTAGAAGAACCGCGCTTGTGTGGTTATGCAGCCAACCTTGACGCCAATAGCGAGCTTATGGGCAGTTCAAACTACTTCGCGCGTCGCTCAGAAGTCTATCAACTTTTCTCCTGAAAAGAGGTATAGGAAAAAATGGCTACCTGAACAACTGCATAAAGTAAAGGATTATATGCCTACTTGCTTTATTTTGTAAGAGGTATATACATATACAACACGACAGCTTGTACCCGTATAAACAAATCCCAAATGCTGAGAAAGTTTAGAATTAGAATCCTCTTGCACACTGATCTGAATCGTCACGAAAATCACACACGGCCTTTAATGTTCCATTACTGCTCCTTTCTAAAACATGCACCACAGAGTCTATCAATAGCAAAGGATCAAGTGACATCGACGTTCGCATCTCGGACAGTAACCGCTGAAAACAACAAAATTACAAAACAAAAAATTTGAAGATTGGAAATTTCAAAGTCCCGGTATACGAGTAGGGAAATTGAGTTTGTGCAGTTTGTCTCGAGGTTTTGTAGGAAAGTAACATCATGCAAGAAAGTTTTTTTTGTTATTTCTTAATTTAAGACTCTCCTTCAATGTTTGAAAGAAGAAATATGCTATAGCAAATGCATATTTGCTACTTGCTTAGCTATATAGTTCTTAGAAACAAGTACAATCGTAATTCTAAACTTTGCAAAGGTTGACCGTAAAAAAAGTTAATCTTCTTATTTTCCTTCCATCGACACCACAGGTGCGAATTTTGTTTGAGAACTGAAGCTCACAAATGTTGCTTCGCGATAGTTTTTTAAATTATATCTCAAATCCGAAAATTCATACTCTGCTCCTTTTTGTTTTTAGTGGCCCATCTGTAATCTATAAACTCCACAGCTGAGATTTTACTAATTTAATGACTAAAACAATAATCTTGATTATTTTTGAGCATTTTGACGCCCCTCCTGAGTTTTAGATTACCTTCTTTCAACTCGGTATTGAGCCATGAATACTTTCTCTTGCATTCATGCACTCATTTTCTAAAAATCAAAAGCAAGGATTCGTAAAATGCGGTTAAATGTGAGTTTAAAATTTTCAATTCCAAACTACTCAAAATCCAATTTTTTTCCCAAATCATTGTATATGATTACACTCTAAATAAGCTTACCAACGAGAAACCACTCTCAAAGGTTACGCCTTCCGAAGCAGC